GAATTCTGTAGGGTAGGGAAATGAAGAGGATGCTTGGGAATATGTCAGTGTGCTGCGGGGTAGCACACTATAGGAGTGAGAAGACTTAGTGGGGTAGGGGATCTCAAAGACTGACACTTGAAGCAAGTTATAGAAATGTAAAGGTTTAGTCGTATAGGAGAGAGCGCTCCACATAGAGTTAAAGACTGGTGCAAAGATGGTAAGATCATTGTTGGAAAGGAGGATATTTGGGATATAGAAGGACAGAAGGTGAGCTCCCAAAGTTATGATTAGCTAGAAGATACCTTAAAGACTCGTCATTTTATCATAAAAAGACTGGGGTGCTAATGCAGAATTGTGGGTAATGGTGTCATATATGACTTAGTTTTTAAAAAAATCTGAGTCTGTGCTGAGAATAAACTCAAAGACCAGATCAAGGGTGAAGACTGAGCAGTCCATCAAAAATCCATGGGTAGGGTCAGTGAGACAGATCAATGTGTAAAGGTGCTTGCTTTCAAGGCTGATGACCTGAATTTGATGTGCATGACCTATATGGTAGAAAGAGAGAACCAACTTTAACATGCTGTTGTCTGACCTCCCAATGAATACCTTGTGCTCAGAATTAAAGTAAAATGATGTCTGTAGAGTAGAGAAGATTAGATACAGATTGTAGACTCATTTTGAAAATGTAGCTGGTATGGTAGACTAGGCATAGAGTGTGAGAAAAAGAGAAGCAAAGTCCAAAGTTTGGACCTAATAGCTAGAGAGAGATTTTTACTCCTAGCAAAGATAGAAATACTGGGGAATCAGGTTTGGAGGAATGATGTATCACTTAAGAGATGTTGCCGCTAAGTTGCCTGTAAGATATTCAGTGCCAGAGGGGCAATTGCATGTATGACTGGGATTAAGAAGGAGTACCAGCATAGAGATAGGAAATTTGCATATATTTATGTACTTAGTGGTAAATGGTGTGATTGAGAACAACTTAGAATATTCTGAGGATAAGAAGGAAAAGAAGACAATGAAAATGCCTCTGCCCAGCAAATGAGAAGACTGCGTTTTTGAAAGATTTAATTTTCTCATCCTTACTTTAATATTCTTATGTATTTAAGGCAAGTGTAGGTTAGTCCAGTAACCTGTCCAAAGTTGGTATAAACTTAACCTATTTCTCCTGTGCTGTTTAACTGGAATTGTCTCCACCAATAATAAGAAAATCAGGTGACTAAAACCAACCTGTCAACAGCTGTAGTCTGTTAGCAGCAACTTAGAGCACAGGGAGTGGCTGCTTGATGTTAACTATGAAACATTGAACAACTTAAAGTTTAATGTGGATAAAGCTTTATAAAGTAGTCATGGTGGTTTTATGTAGAAGCCTGGTTGAAGGTAGTGATTGCAAGCACCAAAATGGGAAGTCAAAGAAGGGTGTGGGGCAAGAGAGGGACAGAGAGGGAAGGAGGGAGGGAGAAGAGTGAGAGAGAAATGATGTAAATTTATACTTCTTGAAAGCATTCAGAATCTTTAATTCACATACTCTAGTATCTGAAAGTACCTTCAGCTGCTGTGTGGAGACATGAGAGCCTTTCCTTGGTCGCATCTACTGGCTGTGGCAGTGTGAATCTCTCTCCTGTCTGTATGTGCATGGAAGGGCAGGAGTGGTTGAGTGGGCAGTTGGCAGTTATTCCTTGAATTGATTGCAATCATTCTAAATCCCAGCAGTGCTGAGGGTGGGGTCAGGAGGAGCATTCCCCAGAGGTAGCTGCAGAATGCCTTATTTGCATAAGGCTTTCGTGATGCTTAAGGCATAAGCGAATGCTTACATACAAGGTTGTAAGAGTTCAGATCTGATTTTTTCACCGTGTAATTGAAGACATTACAAAGAGTGAGAGGTCAAATGCCTCAAAATGTTGCTCAGACTATAAAGATGAAAGGAAGTGAACATCATGGCAGGATTTGTGATCTCCGAATATATAGTTGAAGTGAATCATGGAGAGAACATCAAGACACTGAACTACCATTGAATTTCTTAAAAAATGAAGGAACCTTATCATTATAATGTGTCTAATGTCTTGAGCTAAACAAATTCCATACACTAATACTGTGAAAAATATTAAGATTTTTAACTCTTTAAACTGAGATTAATTTGATCATAATTTTAAAGGAATGTTAAACCTTATAGGCTAACAAAAACCTTGAAAATATTATTTATTCAGTATGTCTTGTTCTGAGCATCGGATATTTTTTTTTCTGTTGGTATGGGTAGCCCATCAGAGATGACCACTCAAACACAATTTACAAACTGTGTAGCCCACTCAAAGTCTTTTCATTTCATCCAGCAGGAACTACACTCAAGTTTTCGGACCTACACATAGCCCGAGTGTCAGGAGCACAGGGTTTTTGAAGGCAAATATACATCCTGGCATCTCACTGGCAGCTGCAGGGGGCTTTGCAGAAGCAGTTTAACAGAAGCTAAATTAGCTGTGGCATCCTGACCTCGGCTTCCTACAATAGAGTTTGGCCATTTTCCATGGGATTCTTCGTTGAGATGATCACATTCGAGTTAATCAAAAACGGACTCAGCAAGAGTGGAGGAACCTCTGCACTGTCTTGTCTATCACACTTTCTTGTATCTAGAAGCTACTTCTTCTAAAACTATTTCAGATTAAAAAATATAGAAATCTATGTCATCATGACTAAGAGTCCTTTTAATCTGGCTGAATGATTAGCAATCTCAAACAAATCGTTTCTTCTCTCAAAACTCAGATTTGGTAACTAACTCTATCAGTAGAAGGAATGTCTTGTGGGTAAAGATGAGTATGGAGATGTGGTGTTGTCTTTTTCTTAGGAGTTATGTCTAAATTAACTTTGTTTAGTCGCACAGGTCTCTAATCCCTGCTGCTCAGGAAGCCGCGATAAGGTAACAAGTTGGAGGGTCACCTGGTTTACAGAGGGAGTTCAAGACTAGCTTGGGCAATTTTGTGAAAAGCCAGGTTGGGATTACAGCAATGGTAGAATGCTTGCCTAAGCTTAATCTCCAATACCAAAAATAAACAAGGAAATAACTTAAAATGTGAATCTATATTGAAATCAATTCTAAGGGTATTGTGTTTGTAGAGTGGTGTGTTTATTTTTATGATTTAATGAAGCTTCAAAATTCAGAAATTCAAATCAAGTTTGTTCTCTTCCAGAAAGGTTGAGTAGCAAGTGCAGATGGAAGAAATATGCCCCAAGTTTTAAAACCAAACCACGGGGTCTTGACATTGTATGACAGTTTTCTTCTAAAAGCATGGCTTTGTAGTTTTTTTTAAAGTTTAGCTTAGAAAACTACCAGTGGTGTATAATATTCTGTGATTCTTAGAAAACAGTCACTTCAAAGAATAAGAAAATCTTCATGTGGTAGATTTATTTCAAAGCTTTCTACAAATACTTGATCCTCAAGGGAGAAAAAGCAAAATCTTGATTCTCAAATTCTTCAAAAATTCTCTAAGTTGGTGGTATTTTCAGAAGCCAGCCCGTGTAGATCAAATAGGCTGCATATGCTATTTTGGGAAGAGTAAGAATTGTCAAAGATTTTCCCACTGCTATGAAATTTAAGTTATTGGGCATTCTACCTTGTGAAAGTGAGACTGAAGTCCCAAGGCTGAGAAATTCTTATCCATGGCTTCTAACAGCTGTCTTCCTGCAATGGCGCTACATGAATAGCTTCTTCATGAAGCTGTGACAATAACATAAGGCTTTCTGGTTCCTGGGGATATTTCTCACTGTTCTCTCTTGACCATCTATTGGGCATTCAGCGAGCCCAGATTTAGCCTTCATCCCAGGAGGAAAGTGTTGAGGTTTTCACATGACTCCTTTCTTCGCTCACTGTATTTGTGTACTGATTTCTGAGTGTTCTTGCTGGTGGGATGAGCAATGTGTGTCTGGGTGTGCACATTTTGTGTCCACGTCTACCTGTATGATATCTTTCAGAAGTGGAGAATTTTGCCACGCAGCTTTTCCTCTGACAAAACAGTTTATTACCATGGCCTCACCAGAGATCTCTTGGCATTACATAATTGGCCTTAATTTTGAGTAATGTAGCCAAATCTCCAAGAAAGATTTTAGGGAGGGATAGGGCTCATGCTTGGGGGTCCTAGAACCTCAGGGCATTTATGTCTAGAAAATTCTACAATGTCAAGCCTCAGTATTTATAATCAGGCTTCTCTCTTTAAAGCTGTGTTTGATTTACAGCTTTGAGAAGTATCTAAGTCAGTTAAGTACAGTCTCAGCTGGAGGCATTTTCTGATTTTGGCCAATGGATCCCTTTGGTGCTCTAAGCCCTGTTAACATGAGAGTAAGAATATCATCAACTCCTGCTGCCCTTTGGAGCTTAGCTATCTTGTCTACCTTCTGCATTTATTTTATGATGAAGGTCTCAAGGTACAGCGGCTTTTCAAGATTTATTGTACATGAATCCGTACACACTTCCCGTGTAAAGCTGCCCTTCATTTCTTCCTCCTCCTCAGCTTGAAGGGAATTTGGAATATGGGGGCGGGAATCTAGAAGCCTCTAAGATCTCTTTCTGTATAAGCAGGAAAACATATGTGGTGGTTGATGATGTGAAACGAGAATCTGTATCTTCTAGTGAGACAGCCAAAGCCACAGAAAATTCTGCTTGATTTTTTTAACCTATCCACACAGCAGCGGTTCCTATTTCTCAGCTCTTAGATGGCTTCCCATGGTGAGACCAAGGCTTTCAATAGCTTTTCTGCTATGGGAAAAGCTGCTGACAATCATTGCATTGACGCTGAAAGGAAAGTCAGATATTGAGGCCAGCATAGAATTTGTGTGGGTGTATTTGGGCCTGTGGAAATCCAAGGAAAAGAATTCCACCTTACAGGGCCTTTTTGGGGCCTGATGCCAATATTGAAGGGGCTCACCAAGATTTGCCTTTAGATTGTGTTTTCAGTACGGTGTTTAATTGCCAGAAATGCTCTTCACTTTTATAATTAATAGTGCGTTGTGCTGTCTATCATGCGCCCCAGGTGTGTTGTCAGGGACATGGCGAAGCCTGCTGCCTGCAAAACACCAAGGAATGCTGAAAGCCAGCCCCCTCAGCCACCACTGTAAGTATGGCGTTGGTTTTATTGACTGAAAATGTCACCTCTTACTCAGATCACTGGTTACAGATTTATTAATGACTTTGCATGTGGGAGTGGATACACTAGTTTCTCTGGTATATGTATAATAGAAAGACTACTGCTGTTCACTTAGATGAAATTTTCTGTAAACAGAAGCTCTGGAGTAAGTATCCTTGTTAAATGATGTTTCTAATATATTGCAGGAATTAGACTAATTAGAAGAGAGGGAAATGTATCAGCAACTCTGAGTTTTGTTTCCAGTTATTATTATTATTTATTATTATTGGTTTTGGAATGCATATGGCCTGAATTATTAGAATCCCAGGAAGTGTGGAATCAAGGTATAGGTGGGTGCCAAGTAGGGACTGGAGTGTGTTAGAGAAGAAATGAACAGTAGTCTACCACCCAACCCTCACGCTAGAACGTCCAAGGGTAATGGACACTCTTCAGAGACACGCTTGTCTCCCTAGTTTCAGCTTTATTATTGCATTCTTAGGTGTGGGTAGAAATGATGATTAAATGTGAGCAACAAACAATCAAGGGTGGGAGAAAAAAATCGAATATGTAAACTTTTAGTTTCCCATACAGAGTTTGAGGAGTTTTTAAAAAAAATGTTAGAATTCTGCAGAGTAACACGATGCACTCAATCCTCAGAATATAAGTATTCTCCTAGTGAGAATAGATGAAAATGTCCTTAAAATGCATGATCAGCAGCAACTTCCTTAGCAGAATCATTTACAGTGAACCAGATACTACTGGGAAATGTCTCCTTCCAATGTTTATAACAAAATCTTTTGAAGAAATGTGTTTTCAAATCATTTTAAAATATCACTTCAGCTATCGTAGAAATATTTTTTAATGCAACGTCAAAATTACCTGAAGTAGTAAAAAGTCTCGGAGGAGAAAATTAAATTATTCTATTTCTTTGGAAAGTTTGTATTAGCAATGACAAAAATTAAACAAAACCAATGTTTTCTTAGAGCAATAAAAATCTTTTCTAAGCTTTGCATATGCCATCATACTCCGCAAGCTCTTTATGTTTTACTAATCAAAACTCACAGTAACAGGTGGATTTTGTATGTCTATCTATTTGATATCATCTCTACTCTCAACTTTTTCCTTTAGTTTGCCATTGAAATGCTTATGTTTGGTATGTTATATACAAGAACAAATAGTTGTAAATATTGAACTTTAGGATATTAACATTTTACAGAAAAATTTAGGACACTTAGTGTATGTGTTAAAGATTTTTATCTTGATAATAGACTTGAATATCAATTTCTGCATAATCAGTGTTTCCACGAAGTAAAATAGTTTTGATTTAACCATAGTAAAAATGATTTATAATTACTTTGTTAAAAGTAAAAATTCATCAATACAATAAATGATTATGCCATGTACTTACTTTATACATAAATATTAGTGTATATTATATAGTATTTTATTACATATATTCATATGGGAATATCATTGTTTTTCAGGCTTGTCTGAAAATCCTAGCCTTAAGCTCTCCTCCTGCCTCAGTTTCTACAGTAGAGAGACAGGCATGTGTCACCATGTATGAACTTTTTTTTTTTAAAAAAAATCCTCTTACTGTAAAGAGCCTTTTCTTATGATTAGTCATGATAATTCCCAGAAAACTTCTGCTCTTCTCTAACTATCTTATTTTTCAAAACTAAATGTTGATGTAAAATGTTTAGTTCCACACACTGATAGCTTTATTTTATTTTATGTGTGTGACTTCAGGTGCACACATTCCTATTTGCATATGTGTGTGCAGGGGTGTATAGATATTTAAGGGTATAAATGCTTAGATCAGAGTATGATATCAGGTGTCTTTTGCTAATGATCTCTACCTTACATTTTTTCTCTCTCTGGGGTGTGTGTGTGTGTGTGTGTGAGTGTGGTTTTGTGTGTGTGTGTGTGTGTGTGTGTGCGTATGTATGTGTAAGTACACAGAAACTTGGAAAGATCCTGGTGAGTCCCTGCTCTATTCTCAGCTCTGTCTCCTTGAGACCAGGTCCCTCATGAAGCAAGGTGCTAGGCTGGTAAGCAGTGAGTCCGAGTCACCCTCCTTACTCTTTGCCCTTTAGTGCTGGAGTTACATGGCCTTGCCAGGCATTTTCATGTAGGTGCTAGGAATCTGAACTCTCACCAGCCCTTCTCCACCTTCCTTTTTTTTTTTTTTTTTTTTGAGTCATGGTTTCTCATTGGCTGGGGGTCATTGTCTGGACAACAAGCTCAAAGGACCCTCCTGCTTTGTCTACCATCACTGGGGTGTCACAAGCATCCAGCTGAATCTATTTGATGTAGGAGCTAGGGACCAGCCTCATATCCTCATGCTCATGAAGCAAACACTTGATCCACTGAAATGTCTACAGATTGCCTCATTCTATTTATTTTAGCACAGGGGATTGAACCCCAGCTCTGCACATATATTAGGCAACCACTGTATTACAGAACTTCCTCCTAGCCTGCACAATGCCATTTTAACTGGCTTCACTCTTTCCAAAGTTCATGCTCTTCTGGATGTTGGGCACAAAGTAACACATGTTGTCCTGTCCAATTAAGACTTAGATTTTTTTTTATTACTGAGACAGAGATTAAGTACCCCTAGATGTCTTGAAGTTCACTGGGTAGACCAGGTTGGTCTCAAACTCACAGTGATCTGTTTGCTCCTGTATCCCGTGGCATCTTCTAGCCAGTAATGAGATTAAAAGTGTGATCCAAAGCTAGAAGATGATTACATCATTGCTTTTAGTTATCACTCTTTTTGAAGTCATTAAATTTGCTTATACAGCTATAGTTGTGGAAGTCAGTCGTAACTTGAGTTGAACCTAGTAAAATGGTGCCAGTGGTGTCCCTGGCTTTACTGGACATGAAGCAACAGTTGTGGACTCCTTGTATCCTTCTTCCTAGCCATGCATTTACATTGTAGTCCTCTGATTAAGAAAGTAGACTTTGTGGATTAAATCCTCTGTGGAAAAAACAAAAGCAAGTTATAAGAAAGACAGAATTTAGCTATAGATGAGTTGAAAATAGTGAAGTCATGCTGTTAATGGGTAAAATGGACAAATATCAGTGACCAGATTTGTTGTAAAAGTGTGAATGGAATAGAATAGAATAGAAAATTATCTTAGATGAAGATTTGAAGACACACTTTATTATTCAAGATAAATGAGTCGAGATATAAATTTTAATTTCCATTGCATTAAGTTATGAGGCTTTCATTATTAGAGTTGAATTAGATTAGCATAATCAGATATGTGTATATATGAAATTGCTATTGGTAGCAGTGGGGAAAATTAAATATGAATGTGACACATACTGAACCACTGTCAAATCAATCAGTAACCTTTTGTAATAGTTCAAGGAGAGATGCAGAGGCCTAAGAGGAGAAGTTCAGAACCTGAGTCATTTCACAGCTAGAATCTAGTACATGTTGACAGTACTTTCTGGTCAATTAAATGTATTTGTAAGGAAATAATTTAGTGGACCTACCCTGTTCATGCTTGAGTGATAGATAAATCTAGGATAGATGAGCAGTAGGGAGTTGAGTATAGACTGTGATTTTGTGGTACGTGTAAATTATCCAATTTTATAAATTTAACATAAACTCCCACCAGCAATGCAGGAATGTTCCCTTTACCTCACATCCTCTCCAGCATAAGTTGTCATCAATGTTTTTGATCTTGGCCATTCTTACAGGAGTAAGATGGAATCTCAGAGTTGTTTTGATTTGCATTTCCCTGATGGCTAAGGATGTCAAACATTTCCTTAAGTGTCTTTCAGCCATTTTAGATTCCTCTGTTGAGAGTTCTCTGTTTAGGTCTTTATTTTATTTTATTGGATTATTTGTTCTTTTGATGACCAATTTCTTAAGTGTTTTTTTTTTTTTTGTATATTTTGGAGATCAGACCTCTGTCTGATGTGGGATTTGTGAAGATCATTTTCCATTCTGTAGGCTGTTGTATTGTTTGTTGGTCGTGTCGTTTGCTTTACAGAAGCTTTTCAGTTTCAGGAGTTCCCATCTATTAATTGTTTCTCTCAGTGTTTGTGCTACTGGGCTATATTTAGGAAGTGGTCGCCTGTGCCAGTGCGTTCAAGTGTACTTCCCACTTTCTCTTCTATGAGGTTCAGTGTGGCTGGCTTTATGTTGAGGTCTTTGATCCATTTGGACTTGAGTTTTGTGTGTGGTGATAGAGTGCAAGCTGGTACAGCCCCTTTGGATATCAGTATGGTGATTTTATAGAAAATTAGGAAACAGCCTTCCTCGAGACCTAGGGGTGGAGCTAGAATGCATCGTATTGAGTGAGGTAGCCCAGACGTTGAAAGACAATTATCATATATACTCACTCATAAGTGAATTTTAGACATAAATCAAAGAAAACCAGCCTACAAATCACAATCACAGAGAACCTAGACAACAATGAGGATCCTAAGAGAGACATACATCGATCTAATCTACATGGGAAGTAGAAAAAGACTATCCTTTAGTTAGCCTGGTTATTTTCCAAATCAAGCTAATTTCTACACAGGCTGCCACATACACAATGGGGCTCATAGAACACTGTTATGAAATTAGCCCCATCAGAAGTCTGTGCAGGCTGTACACATGTAGGGTTTTCAGGACAGCTTCTGAAGAACATCTTTTCTTTTGGCCATGGAAAATTATTGTTTTGTTTAAAGTTGCATGAGGAGAATGGGAGGCTGCCTGAGACAAAGCTTGGGCATCAGATTCAAAAGTGACCTGTGTGTGTGTGCTCACTGATGGCATCAAGGGAAAATGAAGTACAAGGGGAAGAGAAGATACTCTACAAAGTAACAGAGGCATTTGGGCTCAAATGTTCTCTACAGAGAGACTGAGATAGAAAGAGATGATGACACTGAGAGACAGCAATAGAAAGAGACAGAGAGACTGAGGGATGGAGAGCTGAGGCAGACAAGCCCTCTATCTTAAGGGTCACCATTACAAGAACTACCCA